TTAATGCGGCAGTATCATTAATATCTATCCACACAATTCCTAACTTATGAATATATCATCCTGCAAAGAGTAAACTCCACCGAAACCGGATTGGCTCAGTGGATAGAGCGTTGGCCTGAGGACTGAAAGGTCCCAGGTTCGATTCCGGTCAAGGGCATGTACCTTGGTTGCAAATATATATATATTTTTTTATTTTTATTTTTTTTTATTTTTTTTTTTTAAGAGTAAACTCCAGCTGAGACCGGTTTGGCTCAGTGGATAGAGCGTCGGCCTGCGGACTGAAAGGACCCAGGTTCAATTCCAGTCAAGGGCATTTACCTCGGTTGCGGGCACATCCCCGGTAGAGGACTGCAAGAGGCAGCTAGTTGATGTTTCTCTCTCATCGACGTTTCTAGCTCTATCCTCTCTCTTCCTCTCTGTGAAAAATCAATAAAATATATTTTAAATAAATAAATAAATAAAAGAGTAAACTCCAGCAACAAGAGCACTCCTACACCCGCCCCCCACCAGGCAACAAAAACCCCCACCCACTGCCCTCTGACCTGCAGGCACCCTCCAGCACCCTCCACCTTCACATCTGACCCGGAGAACCGGGTCCCATTCGGGGAGTCTGCAACACTAAACCCTTTTCCTAATAACACTGGGGGGCTGTTTGCCTTGTCCACTCCCATCCCCTCACCCGCGTGCGGGAGTGGCGGGCCTGCGGCCCCACAGAGGTCAGCGTGGAGGCGGGCAGGGGGCCACGTTCTGCTCTGAGAAGCCGGTGTCCGGGACGCAGGCAGACACACAAAGCCACGCCACCCTTCCCATGAGCCTCGCTGTCTGGGAAAATACTTATTTTAATAACACGTCCCTGGTCACTTGTATTATACTAGGCCTGTTTTCTAATACTATCTTCAAACTCTCGGTTTTAGTTTTTAATATGGTCAATGTAGACAGATGTAATCCACATCACAAAGGGCTCCTGAGGGGGCCTCAGTCATGTGTAAGAGAATAAAGGAGTGCTGAAGTCAGACTGTTTGGGACCTAAAAATAAAAATAAATAATAATAAAAAATAAAAAAACGTTTGGGACCTGATGGTCTAAGGCAGTTTGCCGCTCTGTTGACTAATGAGTTTGCCGACCACTGCCTTAGGGGAAAACTCTTTAAAAAAAAAAAAAAAAAAAACATTTTAATAATGTACTAATATGTCTGAGGGGTCAGTGGGTCCAGCTGAGGGGTCAGTGGGGCCCAGCTGAGGGGTAAGTGGGGCCCAGCTGAGGGGTAAGTGGGGCCCAGCTGAGGGGTAAGGGGGGCCCAGCTGAGGGGTGAGGGGGGCCCAGCTGAGGGGTAAGTGGGGCCCAGCTGAGGGGTAAGGGGGGCCCAGCTGAGGGGTCAGTGGGGCCGAAATGCCTCCGGCACTCTGCTGGCTCGCCAGGCCACGTGCTCTCTGTCAGAGCCGCTGGGAAGGGGCAAAGGGAGCCGCCACTGGCCCCTGGGGGCTCAGGGGAGCAGGCTGTGTGGGAATGTGCTCCATCGGTGTGAGGTAGGTAAGTCCGTTTTCAAACCTGCGGTCATTCCAGGGACAAGACCAAGAATAAGCCTTTTGCTTTGATGCTAAAACGCCTAGTGTTAAAATTAAAGAGACCTCTCATTAGCAAGTTTGATGCCGACGAAAACACAATTTAGGAGAGAAAGGTCTAGAGATACTTGGTTTGTTTTCAAAAGCTTTATCTCGAAGGGGAAAAGGTGTCCTGCACATGCACCCCTCGCCTGTCCACACCAGGTGAGCTAACAGGATAGCCTGGGTCACTTACCAATCCATGCAGACGCTGACGGGAAGGGGTGTCTGTGTCGCCCGTCAGAAGACGGTTCACAGAAAGCCTGTCGCTCGTCTCCTTTGTGAACCGTGCCCGCCAGCCCTGTGGCTGACCCTGCTCTTCCGAGCCGGAATGGAAAACAAAATTCACGCTTTTCCCCCGACGGGACGGGACGTTGCCTGGCCTCCAGGGCGGGCGCTGCGTGGAGGGGTGTTGCAATGGGTCTTCCGAGGCGGGGAGGGTGGGGAAACCTCGAGGGCCTCTTTTCTAAGGACCCTGATCACCTCTCACAGACCCGGCCTCCAAATACCATCTCGCTGGGGATAGGTTTCAACATATCAATTTGGGGGCGGAGGGTGAGGAGGGAGGACACTACCCAGTCTGAAGGAAGTCCTGGACAGTCCACAAGACCATTGAAGATGCCGGAGAACCACCGCAGGCCCTGAGTGCCCATAAGCAACCTAGCGGAGGGGGCAGAGCCAAGTTCATCCCACAGAAACAGCCTGCTTGGGATGCCACCTCCCGGAGGTGGGCACCTGACACTTGGCACCAGGCAGCTGGGTGCTGCTGTGCCCGGGCCCCCGGCTGCTCAGCACCATCTCGGACTGTCCCACTTCCTCTGGGAGGTCCCAGCAGGGTCAGGATTCCAGGAAGCGGGGAGCGGTTGGGGCCAGGGATGTGCCCTCACAGAGCAGCCAGGAAGCTGGAGAAGGAAGCTCCCGCTCCCTTTTGCTTTTAGAGCGGAAGGTGGGCCTCCCCCCCACCCCCCACATGGAGCTCAGGGTCCCACAGCCCTTGGCTGGTAAGCTGCCCACCGCAGCTCCCCGTTAGCGAAAGAGGGGACTGTGAGACAGAAGGCGGAAAATCACAGGCTCAGTCTAAACACACCGTTAGCGGGCCTCCGGGGAGGGATTATATTGGATTGCGGATCAGAAAATGTTTCATGAGAGTGGCATTTAGGAAAGGCTCGATGGATCAGATCTCTCCTAATAGAAATAAACGGAAGGGGGGCTCCTGGCCGCTCCGGGGGGGGAAAGGAATAACATCATCAACTTCCATCTGAATGCAAAGGAGACGGTAACATCTCCCCATTAAAGTCTTACGCCGCGTAAGTGGGCCATCGTTTATTTCTGTTCCTCGCGAGGAAGGCCGTGGACGGAGAACACGCTCGCATTAAAATACCATGCCACCCAAATCCCATTGGAGAAAGCATGGGTTTTATTTTTAGTTCTGGCTGTTTAATTCTCACAGGGACATTCTGCCCAGAAGTGGGGGGGGGGGGGGGGGCGGTTTGCAATGTGGCAGCAATCTGTAAATTGAAATATTTACTCACTGACTCAACATTTGCTTAAGAGTCTAATGCGTCCCAGGCTCTGAGATCAAGTGCACACGACGAGCACGTTCGAAGGCCCTGCCTTTGTGGTGGTCAGACTAATGCTCCTTCCTCCCCATACACCCCCCCACCCCACCCCACACACACACACACACACACACACACACACACATACCAAGATGTCTTCATCTCTGCAGCCTATGAATTTGCTGTTACCTTACACATACGATGAAACTGAGGACCTTGAGGTTGGGGATCAATCCTTGATGATCTGGGGCGGAGAGGCAATCTAACGCCATAGGAGAAACGTAGGTGAATGGATGCAGAAATGAAAGCAGAAAGAGAAAACGGGTGGCTGGTGTGAAAGGGGTGTATTGATAAATTACGTAAGGTGTGAACACCAAATCCTTGCCACAGGGCGTGGCGATGAAAGCTAACTAGAAATACAAATAAGGATAGATGAAGCTAACGAGAAATAAAACAGTCAACGGCAATATTCACGGAGTGCTCACAAGGCACTGTGCCTGCCTGACGTGTAAAAACGTTGAAAGTTCACAAGAACTGCGCCTATGTGCAAATGTTATTTTTAAAAAAGGGGGGGGGGTATTTTTTTTTTCTGTAACTGATCGCGTTTTATCCTCTCTCAGCCGAGGGTGGGGAAATGCTTACCCTTGCCAATAAAATGCACTGGGGCCCTTTGCCCACAATGAACCCTCTGAGGACTCAGTCCGTTCCAAGTTCAATCTCAAGGCTGCTTCCTGGGCCGGGGCCCACCCTCTGTGCTGGGGGAGGACCATCCTCACACACCCTCCTGGGGCCGGGCCGCACCGTCCTGGGGACTCAGCCGGCTCTGCCCTGCAGCAGGAAGAAATGGCATAAGCATGCTAGGGTTTTCCCTCCGGGAAACAAGAGGCTGCTTGTAGGCTGGGGGATGATCGCCAGCGATGTCCTCAGGCAGGTCCCTGGGGCAGCTCAGAGGACGGGGTGGAGGGGAGGAGCGGGACGGGGAGGTGCGGTGTGAAGCTGCTGGAGGGGCTGGAGCAGGCGGGGCACTGCTTAGGGCACGTGGCTGCGCCGTGAGGGCCTCCCCCAGACGCTCCGCCAGGAGACTTCTCCCCCGTTAGTGTTCCACGAAGCCCCCTCCCCGCCTCCACCCGGATCCCCGCAGCTCTGGTGAAGGCTGCGGCCCTCGTTTCATCACGTTTTATTCCCTAATCCTTCCCTGTACCACATCACCCAGGTCGCCTTGGTTAAAACACGACAGTAAACGCTTATGGAACTGAAACGGGTCCAAGGCCAGAGGATGCTCCGGGCTCGTGGTCGGCAAACTGCGGCTCGGCTCGCGAGCCACATGCCGCTCTTTGGCCCCTTGCGTTTTTAGCAGAGGCCGGCTTAGAAGCGCCCTGATTAAGTTAATAACAGTGTACCTACCTATAGAGTTTACGTTTAAAAAAAATGTGGCTCTCCAAAGCAATTTCAGTCGCCGTCCTGTGGACGTTTGGCTCTGTGGACTAGTGAGCTTGCCGACCGCCACGGAGTCTGGTTCGCACAGGGACGTCGGGCCCAGCCCGCCGGCGGCGGCCCGGGAAGGGGTGATGGGCTCACTCCCTCTGGGCGATTGGCTTCCTCTCCCCGGGTCACTCCCCTGGCCGATCACGATCACAGGGTGCCCGCCTCGGACCCCGCACACCCGCCGGAGGCTATGCGCGCCCCACAGCGGCCTGGAAGTCACCGCGGCTGCTATACCCGCTTCGACCGCCGGAGGGCGCGTCTCCCGGTTCCCGAACACAACACTCGGCGTTCAGACCCGGCGAACGGGGATGACGCATTCAGACCCTCCGAGGCCGCCGTATCCGGACCGTAAACAGGAAGTGGAGCTCTGCCGGGGCCCGGGCGCTCGGGAGAAGGGAACCACCGGTTTGGCAGAGAAGAGACGCCTCCGGCCGCCGCTGCGGGCCTGCGCTTCGGGGGCCGCGCCTCGTCCCCGCTGTGGTGCCTCCCTCGTCCGTCCCGCTCCAGGGGAGGCGTCCACCCCGAGCCGGAGCCCGCCTTTCACCGGCGCCATGGCCGAGTACTCCTACGTCAAGTCCACCAAGCTGGTGCTCAAGGGGACCAAGGCCAAGAGGTGAGGCCGGGCTTCGGGGAGGCGGACAGACCCCCTCGCTTTCCGGGCGGGTCTCCCGGGGGCCGGGCTGCGGTCAGCCCCTCGGGCTCCCAGCCCGGGCCCGGCGCCCGGGGGGACGGGGGCGGGGACTCGGCCCACGAGGGGCGGGGATGGAGGGCGGGGCCAATGGCCGCGGGGGGGCGGGGACTCGGCCCGTGAGGGGCGGGGACGGAGGGCGGGGCCAATGGCCGCGGAGGGGGCGGGGACGCTGGGCGGGGCCAATGGCCGCGGAGGGGGCGGGGACGCTGGGCGGGGCCAATGGCCGCGGAGGGGGCGGGGACGGAGGGCGGAGCCGCGCTTGCCCCCCTGTCCTCACCCCTGCTCCTCCCGCGGCGGTCTGAGTGCTCAGGTCTAGCCTCCTATATTGGGATCCTTATTTTCACCGTTGTCTCCCTCCACCCTAAAAAAAACTCTTGGTGAATTTTCAACGCAATAGGCAGCGGTGGGTGCTGACTGGGATATGGGCTCGGATAGGAACTCCACCAGTGACCAGATCGTCCCGCGACCGTCCCGATTTTTAACAATGTGTCCCGCGACGTTTTAAAAAGTCTAAATCGGGACGGGACACATTGTTAAAAATCGGGATGGTCCCACCAAAAGCGGGACGACCATCATAACTACTGAGCAGAGTTAACACATATATAGCACTTTTTATGTGCCAAGGACTTTTTTAAAATATATTTTATTGGTTTTTTTAAGAGAGGAAGAGAGAGGGATAGAGAGCTAGAAACATCGATGAGAGAGATACATTGACCAGCTGCCTCCTGCACACACCCTACTTGGGGGGATGTGCCTGCAACCAAGATACATGCCCTGGACCGGAATCGAACCCGGGACCTTTCAGTCGGCAGACCGACACTCTATCCATTGAGCCAAACTGGTTTCAGCGCATATTAACTTTTATAAGTAGCCCCTAGGTTTTTTAAATTATTGCAGTATAACTACCCTGTTTACCTGAAAATAAGACAGTGTCTTATATTAAGTTTTGCTCCCAAAGATGCTCTAGGTCTTATTTTCAGGGGATGTCTTATTTTTCCATGAAGAAGAATATGGTACACATTTATTGTTAAATGAAAATAAAGGAAATTTATTACCTGTATACCATACGGTAGTATGGAAGTTGTCAACACAAACCAGACAAACTGTGAATCCTACAGTATCAAGAATTTACTCATTCAATGACAATCATGTCATCATCTTGAACATCATTATAACAATCCAATTCCTGAATTTCCTGGTGAATTTCTTGTGACTCCATTTCTTTCAGAATCAGTGGACCAAATCTCTCATGTTTAGCAATAGCATTCTGAGACAGAGCCTAGGGGGGGGGCCTTATTTTCGGGGGTATGCCTTATATTTCACTCAGAAGGAAACCTGTAAGTAGGTCTTATTTTCGGAGGATGTCTTATTTTTGGGGAAACACGGTACATACCATAAAATTCAATATTTTAACGTACAGTTCAGTGGGTTTTTTTTAGTATAGTCACAAGGTACACCACTATCTAGTTGTTACACATTTTCAGCACCTTAAAAGGAAGCCCTTACCCATTAAGCATAAATTCCTCCCATTCTCCTCTCCCTGTCCCTGATCTGCTTTCTGCCTCTAAGGATTGGCATGTTCTGAATATTTCACATAAATGTCATCATGTGTTATGCAGCCTTTTGTATCTGGCTTCTTTTACTTAGCAAAACTTTCTCAAGGTTCATCTGTGTTGTAGCATGTATCAGTATTCATTCCTTTTATAGCTGAATAATATTCCATTGTGAATGTAGTATCTACAAATACGACACATTTTGTTTATCCATTCAACAGTTGATAGATATTTGGGGTTTTTTACTTTGGGGCTTTTATGAATAATAGTGCTGTAAATATTGGGTCGGCAAGTAAGTAATTGCGGATTTTTTAAAGAAAATCAAAAAATTTTTTCATGGAACTAAATAACTTTATTCTGTAATGTATTGCCCATTTTGATCAATGACCTTTTGCCATCTTTCAGGCAGCATCATAATCCCACGTTCAAAAAACTTCTGGTTTTTATTAGCAAAAAACTGAATCAGGTACGATTTGACATCATCATCATTATTGAAATTTTTACCATTCAAGGAGTTTTGTAAAGATCGAAATAAAAAGTAATCAGATGGTGCAAGGTCAGGACTATATGGTGGATGTGGCAAAATATCCCAACCAAGCTCCATTAATTTTTGCCGAGTGACCAAAGATGTGTGTGGCCTTGCATTGTCATGATGGAATACAACACCTTTTCGATTTGCCAATTCGGGCCGCTTTTCTTCAACTGCATTGTTTAATTTCATTAGTTGTTCAATGTAGACATCAGAATTGATCGTTCTGTTGGGTGGTAAGAGTTCAAAGTAGACAATTCCTTTGTAATCCCACCAAACTGATAACAAAACCTTCTTTTGATGAATATCAGCTTTTGATGTTGTTTGAGTTGGTTCACCTGGCCTGCTCCACGATCTTTTCCGCTTGATATTGTTGTAAACAACCCATTTTTCATCGCCAGTTACCAGTCGTTTTAAAAATGGATCATTTTCATTACGTTTCTTTAGCAAATCGCAGCTGCTAATGCGTTGCGTTAACTGTGATTCTTTCAGTTCGTGAGGAACCCATGTATCGAGTTTTTGAACATAGCCAAGTTGTTTTAAGTGATTTTCAATGCATGTATGTGATACATGAAGCTTCTCTGCAATCTCACGTGTTGTACTGTGACAGTCCGAATTGATTATTGCTTTGATTAGGGCGTCATCAACTTCAACTGGACAACCAGAGCGTTTTTCATCTTTGAGTGAAAAATCACCAGAACGAAATTTGGCAAACCAATTTTGACACTGCCGTTCTTTTAAGGCTTCGTCACCATAAACAGCACATAACTTTTTATGAGCTTGCGATGCGTTTTTCCCTTTGTGGAAATAAAAAATCAAAATATGACGAAAATGTTCCTTTTGATTTTCCATTTTTCAACGAACGCCAAACGAAAACTACAAAACAGATCAAAAAACTTTTTTTACTGATTAACAGCTGAATAGCCAACTATCAAATAACAAAATGTGTTTTACATTTTTACTACGTCTGCAAACCTAAAAATTCAACTGAAGCCATATATGTGTGAAACCCGCAATTACTTACTTGCCGACCCAATATTTTTTACAATGAAAATGAGAACAGAACAACCAAAATCTGTGGGATATAGGGAATGCAGTTCTAAGAGGGAAATTCATAGCATTGCATGCCTATCTCAAGCAATAAGAAAAGTATTATACAAACTGGATCACTAACTCTGCATGATGTTGCAGAAGTGAAGGGAACCAGGTTTGCTAAAGTAATTGTGGTGATAGAAATGTATTAGCCTCAGAAGCTACTGAGGTGGTTCATTCTATCCTAGTGCAGTGTAAAAACAGAAAAAGAAAGAAACAAGAAAAAGTCCCAATAAACAATCTAACTTTACACTAAGGAAACTTGAAAAGGAACAAAGCCCAGAGTGAGAAGAAGGAAATAATAAAGATCAGAGTAGACGTAAATATTCTTATACAGTTAGGAACATACTAGAGGCCCAGTGCACAAAATTCATGCAGGGCAGGGGGGATAAGAGCCATGTCTATGTAAATTAATAATTTATAAACCACTGTACAGCTCTAAAGATTCTTCTGAGATTCCACATTGTGATATTTTAAGTGCAAATCATTATGCCTAAACTCATCTATACAAATTATCTCCTGTAGTAAGAAGAAAAAAAACAAAGAGAAGAAGAGAAAAAGAGAAGATGATGAAGAAACCCAACTTGATATTGTTGGTAAGTTTTCTATATTCTGAGAAAAGTTAGCACTGGTTGGGACCCCTTTAAAAATATCTTCCTAATTAGACAGTAAAAAGAAAGTAGGAGAAGTTTATGACCTATTCATTACACTTCTTTTTCAAGATTGTTTTGATTATTCTAGATCCTTTAGATTTACATATAAATTTTATAGTCAGTTTATCACTTTCTACAGGTAAGCCTGTTGGATTTTTGGGAGAATTGTATTGAATATGGATCATTTGGGGAGACTCAACATCTTAACAACATTGACTCTCAATAATATGCAGTTTTAGTGTAGCAGTCTTCCATGTCTTTTTTTATATTCTTAAATATTTCATAACTTAATACTTTTATAAATAGAAGTTTAAATTTCTATTTTTCAATTGTATATAGATATGTAATTGATTCCTAAGTATTGAGCTTGTAGTCTGAGACATTACTAAATTAATGGATTGTATCATTGTTGATAACCTGGTTTCGATGTTGTGCTATCAGTAGCATGGTTATACAAGAGGTTACCATTGGGAGAAAGTGAGTAAAGGGTATATGAGATTTCTCTCTCTTAATTTCTGAGAACTGCAAAATAATGTTTTTAGAAAGTAAGTTATGACAATAACAGTAAGAACCTTGTGTCAGATCTAAAAAACAAATCTTAAATATTGATTTTATTTTTTTAGGAATCTGGTGGACAGTAACAAACTTTGGTGAAATTTCAGGAACCATAGCTATTGAAATGGATAAAGGAACCTACATACATGCACTTGACAATGGTCTTTTTACACTGGGAGCTCCACATAAAGAAGGTTTGTGTCTGATAGAAGTGATTAAAAGGAAAGGCTGCTTAAAGCATACATTTTATTGCATTTGTTCACTCTGGCCAGCATCTAACTTAGGGGTGTCGAACTCAATCAGAGAAGGGGCCAAAATCTAAAATCCAGCCTAAATCGCGGGCCGAATGGTTTACTGAACAGTCATAAACTGTCATTGTGATGGAAACGCAGCGGACTGCAGTGATGACAGCGCTGTGCGGGCCACATTGCAAGGCCTGGCGGGACGGATTTGGCCTGCGGGCCTTGTGTTTGACACATGTGATCTAACTAATCCCAAGTATATTCCAAAGGAATGAATCTATTGCATTTGACTTTTCCACTTGTTTCTTTCCTCAAGATTTATCTCTTATTGGCAACTCCTTCTTTCTAATATAAAAATTAGAAAACATTTTGTATAATTCCAGAACCACTGAGCCATGCTAGCCAGGCTACATTTAATTTTAGAAGAAGGCTACATTTTTTAAAAAGTGGAGACTATCTTTACATGTATATGTATAACAAATGTCAAATTTATTTCAAAATGTTTTTTCTCCTGTAGTGGATGAAGGCCCTAGTCCCCCGGAGCAGTTTACAGCTGTCAAATTGTCTGATTCCAGGTAAGTTTGAGTTGAACTATAATTAATAATCTTTTATTTTTTTAATTTTATTAAATTTTTTAATATATAGCTAACGTAAGCCCACAGAGTAATTTTCACTTTCAAAAGCAAAACAGTATTTTTGGAAAGTGTATTTTGTGTTATTTAATAAAATATAACGTTATTTATATATCCAGTTAATATGTAGGTATTATTAAATTACGTTTTCACCCTCACCGGTCTGGCTCAGTGGCTAGAGCGTCAGCCTACAGACTGAAGGGTCCTAGGTTCGATTCCGGTCAAGGGCATGCACATCTCCAGTAGGGGGTGTACAAGAGGCAGCTGATTGATGTTTTTCTCTCATTGATGTTTCTAACTCTTTATCCTTCTCCCTTCCTCTCTGTAAAAAATCAATAAAATCTATTTTTTAATTACATTTTCAATAACTCCGTCTTTAAAGAGAAAAGCCCCAGATAAAAGCATACATTATAATATCCTAGCAATATATAATACTATGCTGGGAAAAATGAATTTGTTATAGACCAAGTAAGATGTAGATAAGAAAAATCCTTTGACGAAAACAGACCTAAAACTGTCTGCTATTGCTATGATATTTAAACTCACTGGTTAGCAGTCAACAGACAAGTAGGAAGGTAGAAGAAAGGAATATTGTTGAAACCAGCAGAGAATGTTACATAGTCATAAAGACCAAAAAGACAAGCTGACCTTTTTTCCCCTCGAAATGCAAAAGTACAGAATGATGCTTTGTGTAGTAGAACAACTAAATTTCATATTCTAGTAATTGGCTACATGAAGACAATAATGACTTGTGTTCTATTATCATTAACCTGTATGTGTGTATAAAGTCAGTCCTCTGGCATCACAGGAGATTGGTAAGCTAAAAACATAGAAATCCTATTTTTCTTTATAAAAAAAAAAAAAAACAATATTAAGATGATTATTTCTATACTTTCGTTGAATGGCCAACAAGTACACCGGACTTTTAAAGAAAAATCAATAAACACAAACTTCTTTATATATTTTAAGAATAGCCGAAACCGGTTTGGCTCAGTGGTAGAGCATCCGTCTGCGGACTGAAAGGTCCCAGGTTTGATTCCAGTCAAGGGCATGTACATTGGTTGCAGGCACATCCCTGGTAAGGGGTGTGCAAGAGGCAGCTGATCGACTCTATCTCTCTCCCTTCCTCTCTGTAAAAAATCAATAAAATATGTATTTAAAAAAAAAAAAAGAATAAAGAATTTAGAAAATACTTGCTATATAGTATAGAAGCCATAATGCTTGTAATAAAAGTAGAATATGACATTGTATGTACAGAACTACACTTTCCTATTTGGTAGTCTCTAGTCATTTGTGACTTTTGAATATTTGAATTATAGTCTGAATTTTTATGTACATACACATTATCTTTATGTTCCATATTTAATTTTCTTCCTCTCAGTTTCTAACATCTATCTTGTTTATTAATCTGAAGAATTGCCCTAAAATCTGGCTATGGAAAATACCTTGGCATAAATTCAGATGGTCTTGTTGTTGGGCGTTCAGATGCGATTGGACCAAGAGAACAGTGGGAGCCAGTCTTTCAAGATGTAAGTGCTGTTAATGTTTATAGAAAGCTTCTTGTCAATGTAGGGAATCTCTTTTAAAGATACATCAACAATTTTATGCACAGAAAATAACCAGCAGCACTATTTATAATAGAAAAAATAAACTCTAAAACATCTATAATAGAACATGATATATCCATTAAAGTAGTATATATAGAATTACACTATCCAAAATGGTAGCCACTAGCCACATGTTTCCATAATGATAAATTAGCCAAGCACCTCCCCAAAAAGAGATAATTACTTAGACTCGTTCCTTCTTGCCTGAATTAAAAACCTCTGGATCACTAACTTTCTAACTTTTTCACTCCGATCCACTAAGAAAGACATTTTTCCATTGCACATTGCAGCCTAGTACACACGTGTATAACTGAAACAAGAGTTGTACTTGGCAGTACTTATTTATCTACATGCTTGCACTCTGATCTTTTCTATCTCTGTTTCTATCTCTTTTTGTTTTTTCCTCAGTACTGGTCAGGACCCACTAAATTCATTTCATGAACTAATGGGTTACAGCCCCTTGTAGGTAGAAGGTCCTACCAATATACTGAGATGCTCATAATAAAAATTATATCAACAGAAAAGGCTGTTATATCAGGTCAGGATGATAAGTCATATACTAATGCTCATACAAAACTTAAGGGGCATTCATCTCACTTTATTTGGGGGAAAGACATAATGTTTTTAACTTTTAAATTAAAGAGAGACTTAAAAGTCCCTGTAACAAGTAAAACTGGATTGCAGAAAGTAACAAAGATAAGCAGTACAGGTTTAAATCACCTGGGAATATACAGCCATATCTAAGCTCACCCAGGGTCATCCGGATGTCAGAAAACCTGGCCCTTGCCCAGCTGGCATGGCTTCGTGGTTGAGTGTTGACCTATGAACTAAGATAGGGGTGTCGAACTCAATCAGAGAAGGGGCCAAAATCTAAAATCCAGCCTAAATCACGGGCCGAATGGTTTACTGAACAGTCATAAACTGTCATTGTGATGGAAACGCAGCGGAGTGCAGTGCTGACAGCGCGGTGTGGGCCACATTGCAAGGCCTGGCGGGACGGATTTGGCCCGCAGGCCTTGTGTTTGACACATGTGAACTAAGAGGTCACGGTTCAATTCCCAATCAGGGCACATGCTCAGGTTTAGGACTCAGTCACCAGTGTGGGGTGTGCAGGAGGCAGGCAATCAATAACTCTCATAATTGATGTTTCCATCTCTCCATTCATCTCTGAAATCAATAAAAATATATTTAAAAAGAAAAACCAGCCGAGACCGGTTTGGCTCAATGGATAGATCGTCGGCTTGAGGACTGAAAGGTCCCGGGTTCGATTCCGGTCAAGGGCATGTACATTGGTTATGGGCACATCCCCAGTAGGGGGTGTGCAGGAGGCAGCTGATCGATGATTCTCTCTCATCGATGTTTCTAACTCTCTATCCCTCTCTCTTCCTCTCTGTAAAAAATCAATAAAATATATATTTAAAAAGAAAAACCAACCCTTCCCATCTTGAGTAAAAAATTAGATTCATGTTATTAGCACTTTCATAACTGGATATGATATAAGGCTATTAATACATTTTTGTAATTATGTTTGTGAATATTTTGTTTGATTTTTAAGGTATTAATTTTTCTAAAAGAATCAACTATATACAACTTGTGATTAAACTTTATATAAGGAAATTTAATCAAATTTATAATCTTGGTTCAGATACACAAGAAAATAAGTTATTAAAGTTTTATCAGAATCAGATGATACATTGAGAAATAAACAACTAAAAAGAATATAAATATTTCTTTCCATGCACAAAAGTCTCCCAGACGTTGATTCTTAAAGTTCTGAACAGTAAACTCAAAGGCCCCAAAAGCTAGCTCTTGTATGATATAGTCTTAGGGAGAAAATTTATACTTAAAGCACAACTGTTTGAGTAAACTGTTATTATAATTTTTATTATGTTATAAGCTATTTTTTTCAAACTCAACTAAATTAATAATATCCTCAATAGATCTTGTAGACCAAAGGAAATAATTCTATTTCATCTAGTTAGAATTTAGTCTTACTAATAGAATACACTAGAAATATTTATTGTGGTTACCTTTAAATAATTAGATTATAGGTGGTTTTAGTTTTCTTCCAGGTATTTTCCAAATTCTTTTTCCTGACTCCTTTTGCAGATATTCTTAAAACTATTTTTTTATTGTTATTTTATTTAGGGGAAAATGGCTTTATTGGCCTCAAATAGCTGCTTTATCAGATGCAATGAAGCAGGCGATATAGAAGCAAAAAATAAAACAGCAGGAGAAGAAGAAATGATAAAGGTAATCATGACATTTTTCTATAGAATGTCACATATGATATGACTACATCTCTTTAAAGTGTTGAAAAGTCATTCATTCTCACTTGAAAGACTTATTGCTTTTTATACTGTGCTCCAAATAAGCTTTGTTTTCGTTATAAACTCCACAACTGGTGGTGTGTTTGCACATTGTGGAAGAGAAATTACTGAGTGAGCTCCCTTGCTATTATCTCCATGTATTAGTATCTTTTTCTGAGTACTTGCACGTTTTTAGCCCTATCTTTCTTCTTATCTGCTTTTTTTTTAATCCTCATCCAAGGATACACTTATTGATTTAAAATAGAGAGAGAACATTGATTGGTTGCCTCCTCTATAAGCCACACTGGGGATCAAACCGACAACCTAGGTATGTGCCCTGATGGGACATCAAACCCAAAACGTTCTTGGTGCATCAGATGATGTTCCAGCTAACTAAGCCAGCTAGGTGGGCTAAAACTTAATATTTTAAATAAATAAATATGAGCACATAATTCCAAAATTTTCAAATACAAGCATATAGAAACGTCTCCCATCCTTCTACAGCAAGCATGTCAAACTCGCAGCCTGCAGGCCACATGCCTCATTTGTTTGGCCTGTATTAGGCTTTGAGTGTGACATGCTTATTCTACAACCTTCTAGAGTTTCTGAATAAATATATAACTTTTGGTACTTTTCTACTTTTTTACACTAAAGTTAGCCGCCTTTATACACTCTTTTAGACACTGATTTTTTTTTTTTTTTCTCTCTCTTAACATTGTATTTTGGAGCTTTGCCTTATCATTACATTGAAAGTTTTCCCTCTCCTTTTTGTTTTTCTTCTTTCTCTCTCTTTTTTTTTTAACATCTACCTAATGTTCTATTTTAGGGTATACCATAGTTTAATCAGTGGTGTATAAATGGAAATTAGGTTATTTTCAGTATTTTGCTGTTATAAGGAGTGCTGCAGCATGTAACTTTGAGTGTGCATCCTTCTGTGGGTGTGAGAGCATATCCAAGGGTGAGTTCCCAGAAGCATAGTTACAGGGTCAAGGGCTATAAACCTTAGCCCTTGTTTACATATTGCCAAGTACCCTCTATAGGGGTTGTACTAAGCTACACTTCCACCATCATGTTGGAGAAGGTGGTAACTAGGCTGTTTGAGTTGTCTAATACTTGAGCATCCGTGTTGCTAGTATAAAATATGAAAGTCTTAACAGAGTTTTTCAGAGCTCTTGTCCTTCAATTCTGGATCTTTTGATGAATACGTAAAAGTCTTTGCATGCATCTATCAAGTATCTGTACATGCTTTGTGTTGAATTCCATATATTTGATTTTACTTTTTAAATGTTCTTGGCTTTCATAACACTCAGTTTTAGTCATTTAGTATTTTTCTTTTTACTGTAAAAATATCACTTACCTTTTAAAACAAGAATAATACCAGTAACTCTTCACGTCATTATTTGGAGTTGATTGGTGGAGAAAGAAATACCACTCTACACAGCACAAAAGTTTAGAAATCTCAGAATATTTTCCAAAGTTTTATCAAAAGGTATTTTCTCCACCAAAGTCTCAAGTAATTTTCATCTAAAACTTAGATCTTAATTGCTGTATCTATCTCTGTTCATTTATGGCAATGAATAGTAAATGTCAGTGAAAACTTAAGAGGATATAAGAAATATTTAAAAGGGATAGATTCCAGTTAGATAAAAACAAATTGTGTTAAGTTAAAAGTTTGAATATATTTGGTAATAGCTTATGCAGAGTAAAATATTATCGTAAGCTTTCAATGTTATGAAATAAACACTACCTGCTAGGGGTAATTTGGCCCTCCTGTGTTGACTTTGAGGCCAAAATTAAATTACTGCCTAATTGTTTAGCAAAATCTGATCTGCAAATGTTTTCCAAATGATTTCTCTTTAGTGTTTCTGATGCAAGAGAAACATATAATAGCAATGATTTATATAAATTCTATATGAAAATAACAATATCTAGAACTGCCATTTTCTGAACCTAATTGCTAAGTTAATGGTTTCCTTCTTTTGCATAAGAAATCACCTAGACTGTTCTTGTGTGCTAAGTGAAGAGGGAAAGGGGGAAGATGAATGTGTAACTTACTGGGTTCTCATTTCCAATGTCCAGATTAGATCCTGTGCTGAAAGAGAAACCAAGAAAAAAGATGACATCCCAGAGGAAGATAAAGGAAATGTTAAACAGTGTGAAATCAATTATGTGTACGTAGTCTTTTCCTTTTAGACCTACAGATCTGACCGCGAAGTGCTTCTCAAGGTGCCTGAAATAAAATGCCTGAAGGACAGGGAGAGGCAGCATAATGTAAACTCGAGAACAAAGCACTGAGCTCAGTGCTTTTCCTCCTCACAGTCCTTCAGCTTTCCTAATTCTCCTGCTAGCTTCCAAAGCTCAGTCACCTGGCCGCGTGTGTCCTCCCAGTTAGTTAGCAGAACAGCTGTTCCGTGTCAGTACAGAATGGCAGCCCTACGTTGTTCCATGGCCAGGATGTGGACTCCAGCCTGCATCCCATGGCAAAGGTGAGGCTGTGGAGAGCTGCCACACAGCTGCCTTCCTGCCGGTGGGCACTAACTAAGAGCACCCATTTTTGAAAAGTTGCATGTTGTTATAGAAATAGAATTAGGTTTTTTTAATAAATGAAAACTTAAAAATATTTGTAAGTGCATCAGTAGTCAGGTATAATCAAAATTTGAGATATTTTTTTCAAGAGAGATATTTTCTTAACAGAAAGAAATTTCAGAGCTTCCAAGACCAGAAACTTAAAATAAGTAAAGAAGACAGTAAAATTCTTAAGAAGGCCCGGAAAGATGGATTTTTGCATGAAACACTTCTGGACAGGTAGGTCTATTTTTACTTATTTTCACTATGATTGAGTACCCAGTAGAAGTGGTGAAATACAATATAAAACCCAGTGTTCTTTTTCTTTTTTTCAATCCTCACTCAAGGATATTTTTTTCATTGATTTTTAGAGAGTGGGAAGGAGAGGGAAAGACAGAAAAATCAGTGTGAGAAACACGTCGATTGGTTGCCTCTCGCGTGAGCCCTGACCAGGGCCTCTGCAGCTGAAGCATGTGCCCTTGACCGGAATCAAACCCAGGACCCTTCGTGCCCCTGGCTGCTACTCTGTCCACTGAATCAATCTGGTTAGGGCCCAGTGTTCTTTCTTTTTAATTATTTGTAATTTTCAAATATTTATCTTTATTTCTAATTTGTGAACATGGTAATATTATCCAAAAAGGACATTGTAAGTCTGGGAAAAGACCACCAAGAAAAACTGTCTAAATATAGTCAGATTCCGAGTACTTATATATTTTGTTGTAAGAAATTCAGATCTCACCGAAATTACATCATACATTCATTTATTTATTTATTTTTACTTTCACTACAACATAAATTTATTTACATCTTTTTATAACTGTTAGAAGCAGGCTAAAAAGAAGTCATCTGACTCATTTCAAAATTCAGTTCTATTAAGAGTTGCACGGGTTCCTAAAAATGAGATAAATATAGGTCAGTTTAAAAATTACTAATTATAAAAATTAAATAAATGAAATTGAAGCACTATTATCAAGTCGAATTCAGAAGTGTGCAGGATATTTATCATAGCACATTATTGATATTTATTACTGTTCCTATTTAGTTAAATAATACTCTGGATTTACAACATTAAAAACTGAATAGAGAGGTTAAACTTAAAGCTTAACAACTAAAAGCAAAGAAGTGCCAGATTAAAGAAGAATTTGCTAATATGCCATTCACTCAAGTGCTATGTTTCAAAATTAGTCTTAAGACATTTCTTCATATTACTTAATAAAAACCGTGTATTTCCTGCTAACTAGTTGATTGAATTATTACCTGAAGTCATTAAATGATGAAAGAATTTTTCCCAGGTAAGAAAATTAACATCTAGTTTCTAGTTCTAAGAAATTAAGAACGAGGTATAAAAAGTCAGGTTATAGACTCAGAAGAAATAAAATAAGGTTTATAGTCTATGTCCTGTAGCTTTTATCTCTTAACAAAAGCACAACATTGTTAAACAGAAGTTTGGGCATGCTTAAATTCAGAGGTAATTAAAATTGCTCATGTGGGCTGAAAAAGCCCTTAGGCACATTTGTTAAAGATGAGGAAAAGACTCATAAGAAATAAGAATAGAATCCATTTAGTATGAAACACTAAGGCCCACTGGACAAATTCGTGCACCAGTGGGATCCCTCAGCTTGGCCAGTGGGATTGGGCCAAAACCGGTTCTTCAAAATCCTCCCAGGGGTCCCCCTTACCTCAAGTGCACAATCAGGGCTGGGGAGGGACCATGGGAGGGCTCCAGGGTATGTCTGGCCTGTCTTGCTCAATCCCGATTGGCTGGACCCCAGCAGCAAGATAACCTACAGTTCAGAGCATCTTCCCCCTGGTGGTCAACGCACATCATAGCAACTGGGCGACCGGTCAACTGCCCCCTGGTGGTCAGTGCACGTCATAGCCAGCGGTTGAGCGACCTTAGCATATCAGCATGTTACACACTTTGATTGGTTGAACTGACACTTCGATTTTGTGAACGGCCCACCAGATGACCGTACATTTAGCATATTAGGTTTTTATTATACAGGATAGGATAAAATTGAAAAGTAAAGTTTTAATTAAAATATCTTAATGTAAAAGGTGTGGTAATATAATAACCAAAATTGAGAACACAGTTTCTAACCATGGGTTTATATTTAGTAGCAGTTGACTGTATATGGAATGTTTTACATAGATTAATTTTAATTATTTGTCTTTTTAAACAGGAGAGCCAAATTGAAAGCTGATAGATACTGCAAATGACAAGGATTTTTGTCTCTGTCTTTTGTTTGTTTGGCTTTTTTTTTTTCTGAATAAAATTAAAGGAAGTGTTTTTATAGAGTTCTTGGGTTGTTGTGAAATTATTGCTAAACTAGTAGCAACTTGAACCACGGCTAACCGAGTTCAGCTGAGCTTCTCCATGGATGTACTTTTTAGTTCAGGGTTTCACATGGAAATGAAACTTGGAGTACACTCTAAAGTGCCACAGAATTCTTTTCTTTTCTGAATTTCCTGTCATAAAGCAATCGTGCTGCTCTGTGAAACTGATGTTTCGTGTGCAGCTCATGGGACCCATCTTACTGCTTTACACTATTGCTTACCCTACATGACCTGATGCAACGCATGCTACCAGGAACTGCCAGGGCTGACCAGCTGACCTGGAGCCACAAGTGAATGGTTATTCTGACACATGTTTCTGTGAAAGAGAGGGCTAAGGGACTGCTTGGCTTGAGAAACCAAACAGCCCCGTTCACTGGCTTTAATTGTAACAACAGCTTGAACTAAAGTTAACAATTTGATACTATCAACAGGGAAGCATCCTTGAGAAGGCACATGCATCTGCAGTGTCCTTTAAGCAAGGACGTCTGAAGACTAAGCACAATGATTCCAGTAAACGCCTGGGTGCTCAGACTTGTTTGGAAAAATCAAGGCAGGGTTGGCTGCCTTCAGCCAACTCCTGTCCTGTGCCTTCCCACAGGGTATCTTTAAAGGGAAGTTGGAAAGTGCCAGTCCAATCAGCCAGCAAGGCTTTGATTCTGCCTCTTCAGTGTTGCCCAAGTCACACACAAGCCAAGCACATGACCGAACAAGGCGGGCTGGGCAGAGAGAAGTCGGGCAGTAGGCCACAGAATGGGATCAGGAAACTACAGAAGAGCAAGAAGGCTCAGGACAAAAGACAAAAGTAAAATTGAGGAAAGCCCCTATTTTGGACAGTTTGGCCACAGGATATCTGCAATGCTTTCCTCCTCACTTGTGAGATGGGACGGGAGCTAGCCTGTCTGAGCTTCTGAACAGTTCCAGATGTCATCTAACCCAGGCTGTGCACCGGGCCTGGGCGTCCCCAGAAATCCTGCTTCAGAAGCACTGCCGTTTCTGGGTGGATGCCCGTACATGGCCGGGATCGTGGCCTGGCCCAAGCTGCCATTGCCTGCCTGGTTCTCGGCCTTTGTATTTATGCACCAGCTGTGGTTGCAGGCCCCTTCATCAAGGTAGCTGAGCTGCCAGGATCACCCTTAGGAAGGAGCTCGTACCGTAGATTCCGGAACTGGGCATTCCCGTTCCAGTAGCTGGGCATCCCCCGGCTGTGTTCTGACCCTCAGATAGGGAGCGTGCTTGCTGTGCTGATCCTCCAAAGCAGAGGTTCTCGGCCAGGGGCTAAGTTGTCTCCGGGGGGGCATCTTGCAACGTTCGGAGATATTTGTGGTGGTCGCACTAGGAGAAGAGGTGCTACTAGCAACCAAAGGGTTTGTGACCAGGGATATAACTGGACATCCCACAATGCACAGGACAGCAGCCACCACAAGCCGTTATCTACCCCAAAATGCCAGTAGTGCCAAGGTTGTAAGACTTTCAGTCTCTACTTTTGTCAGATCTCCAACCCCTTAAAACAGTGGTCTGCAAACTCATTAGTCAACAGAGCCAAATGATTAAAATTTCTTTTGAGAGCCAAATTTTTTAAACTTAAACTTCTTCTAATGTCACTTCTTCAAAATAGACTCACCAGGCCATGGTATTTTGTGGAAGAGCCACACTCAAGGGGCCAAAGAGCCGCATGAGGCGTGAGAGCTGCAGTTTGCCGACCATGGCCTTGGAACAAACAATAGTTTACATTCCTATCCGTAAGAATCACTTAGGCAGAAACCGGTTTGGCTCAGTGGTAGAGCGTCGGTCTGCGGACTGAAAGGTCCCAGGTTCAATTCCAGTCAAGGGCATGTACATTGGTTGTGGGCACATCCCCGGTAGGGAGTGTGCAGGAGGCAGCTGGTCGATGTTTCTCTCTCATCGACGTTTCTACCTCTCTATCCCTCTCTCCTCCTCTCTGTAAAAAATCAATAAAATGTATTTAAAAAAGAATCACTTAGGGCACCTATAGATTTCCAAGGCCCATCCTTAGAGATAGCAAGTCTAGGGTTGGGCCCCAAATTGACATTTGAATAAGCACTCGTGGCAATTCTAAAGCAAGTGATCTGAACCACTACCCTGAAGATCTGAACCACTACCCTGAAGAAACGAAGTCTCTCCAGCACCTGCGGCTGATGGGTTTCCCAGGCACGAACATCTGTCTTAATTTCTGCATATAGTGATTCCTGGGTCCCTTGTCACAGGGCTCACCCTCATGTCCCCCAGTGCCTGCCCCCATTCCAGGTGGCAGAACTTACAGATTGAATTCCTGGCAACTAGGAAGATACATGTTTAAAATATGCATTGCCCCTCCTCAACCTGCTCATGTGGCTCAGTGGTTGAGTGTCGACCTATGAACCAGGAGGTCATGGTTCAATTCCCGATCAGGGCACATGCCTGGGTTGTGGGCTCAATCCCAGTGTGGGGCATGCAGGAGGCAACTGATCAGTGATTCTCATTATTAATGTTTCTATCTTCCTCTCCCTCTCTGAAGTCAATAAAAATATTTTTAAAAAAAATAAAAATATAATATGCATTGCCTGCCCTCATGGAGTTTACTCATGAGCTAGTGAAGGAGGACAAATGAATAAAAAAAAGTCAGGGACGGATAAATGTTCCTTCCCAGTTTCCATCATTGCACTTCATACGAACCCCCATTTTCAGCACGGTTAGTCTTGGAAAAGTGGCCAGCGTTAAGAAGGAATGCATCTAAACTGTCACATGGTCCACATTTTCCCATCTTATGCATGAGGAAATAATGAGAGGTTTTGTTTAAAGCACTTGAAATCTGGCCAAGCATTTTCCTGATTTACCAGTCTACCAATCTTATCTAAAAGAGAAAGACAAATATCGCATGATTTCACTTGCATGTGGTGTCTAAAACACAAAGCAAACAGATCATAGATAGAGAGAACAGACTGGTGGTTGCCAAAGGGAACAAAGGGAGAGAGGACGGGTGCAATGGGTGAAGGGTATTAAGAGGAAAAAAACACCAGATATAATTAAGACACAAGGATGTAATAAACACTACAGGGAATACGGTCAATATAACTTCCTATGGTGACCTGGTAATACACATCATGGTGATCATTTTGTAATATATAAAAATAATAGAATCACTATGTTGTACACCTGAAACTCATGAAATATTGTGTGTCAACTATAACTTTTTTAGAAGCTTACCTACAATAAAAGCACTAACCAAAGCAAAAGCTTCCCACACCCAATTTTGACTGCCCACATTTTTCAGATTCGGTCATTTCAGTTTTTCTATCTCTACGTTTATTGACCTACTATCTACCATCTCCAAACTGCTGTTAAACCATTCTGGTGGTTTTTAAATTCCAGACGCTATTTTTCACTTCTAGAATCCATTTGATCCTACTGTTAAAGTTTTCTCTGTTGAAACGTCCTGTGCACTAAGAGGGTTTCGGGGGGGGGGGGGGGGGGGTGGAGTTATAACAGCTACCTTAAAAATCCTGTCCACCAGCCCGGAGGGACTGGGAGAGTGTTATGTTAAGTGAAATAAGCCTGTCAGAGAAAGACAAATATCACATGATCTCATTCATATGTGGAATTTAAAGAACTAAAGAAACTGATGAACAAAATAGATCCAGAGACATAGAAGCATGGAACAAATGAATCAGAGGGATTGTGTAGTAGGTGGGTGGATGGGAAGTGATTAGCCAAAGAATTTATATGCATGTATGCATAATCCATGGACACAGATAATAGTGTGGTAAAAGCCTGGGTCGAAAAGTGCATCTATATAACTTTCACAATAAAGAGAATTTTTTTTTTTAATCCTGTCCACCAACTCCAACATCCAGGTCACCTGGGGATTGTTCTCCACTGATTGCCATTTCTTTTGAGTATGTTTCCTCATGTGCCTGATAATTGGGTTGTATTCTGGACATTACAAATAATGCATTATAGAGACAGTGGACTCTGTTTCGTTCCACTGAATACTTGTTTGTTTGTGTAACAGGCAGTTAACTTGGTTAATCTCACGCTCTAAATCCTGTCTCCCCTATGGTGGGCAAAGGAAATCTCTGCACACTTCTCTGTTTAGGCTGGCCTGCTTGGAGTCTATCCGGAGGCTGTGGGGTTCGGTGTGGTCGCCCTCTAGTTCTCCCCTTTTCAGCATTTCCTCCTCCTTTTCGCAGATGCTTTGGTCACTCTGATCTCTGTCCTCTGATTCCTCCACTGGAAAAACTTGAGGTTTCCATGAGTTTTAATTACTCTCAGTGGCACTGCCTTTGGGTCTGTCCTAAGTTGAAAAGAGTTAAGAATATGATTCCCTTCCTACCCAGAGTGAACTCCCCTCCAGTTTCTGCCTGCTTTGGTCACTCTCCATTACATTTAGATAATATTTAATATTTGTCCAAAGTATAATATAAATGTCTGTGTGTGTCAAAGGTCAGTGTAGTAAAAGCTACTCCATGACTGGCTCAAACTCTATCAAGGACCTGCCTGGGCTTTTCTAGGTACAGATACCATCACACCGGGTAAACCTGCACCCCCCCTCCCCCAATATGATGGAGTTCCGTGTCAGGCCCAGTGTAGACACTAGTCAGCCCATGGCTTCAACTCCCTGTTGCAGAAATTACATTTACTCAATCATTCTAAACACTGATGGCACAGAAGAATGTATTAAAATGTGCTGACTTAATTCTCTATTATATTCACCAAATTATGATGACATGATAGTTTTCTTAACTGAGACGGTAAATCAGAAATGACTTTCTTTTCATGATATCATTATTTTATGTTCTTATCCTAATCAACAATATTAGCCTGAGAGGCTTCATGCAGGTAAAGTCCATTAAAATATTTGGGGGCTCACACATATTGAAATCCATTTCATGAAAAGGTTAGAAACCAAAAGAATAATTCCATAAAAGAAGAGATTTCTTCTCTCACCCATCTATTAGCGTACA